GTTCCAATAATCCCAGTGCTTGGGAGGCTGAAAACAGGAGAATCACTACGAGTCCAATCTACATAGTGACACCCTGTAGACCCTGTCCTAAATACATTAAAAAAAAAAAATCCCCTAAACATAAGCCCTATTACATATTTTGGAACAAAAATTAATATAAGATCCAGTATTTTAGAGTAAATATGGTAGCAGGTGTTTGGACTACAAATAAAAAACACAAGACCTGGCCATTATGTTCTCACTTGCATGGAGGTACAACCTTATGCTGTAGGGTGATTTCTTTTCCTATTTTCAGCTGGTCTAAACACAGCCTGTTTCTTTTCCTGCCTTTAAAAAACTTAGCTACCATTAAAAAAAAAAAAAAAGAAAAAGAAAAAACATGTCCTTAATCACTTAAGCAACTTACTGATTGTCATTAGAATTTCACAAGTTTCACTCACATTTCTTTTATTTTTCAAATTCCTAATCTTTCCTTCTTGGTTAATGCCTTTTCCTAGGTGCCTCAGTTTTATTTTAAGCTTAAATTCTTACATTTACTTTTTTTTTTTTTTTTTGGTGGAACCAGGGATTGAACTCAGGTCCTTGCACTTACCGGGAGGTGCTTATTCCACTGAGCCATCTCCCCGGCTCTTACCCCAGTTTTATTTCATTTTTTTGCCCCAGTTTTAGAGAATGGATGAAAATGAGAAGAGCCAAGCATGTTGGTGAATGCTTGTCATCCCAGCACTTGGACAGCTGAGGCAGGAGAACTGCCCTAAGTCTGAGGCCAGCCTGGACTATCTAGCAAGGCCCTGTGTTAGCCCCCATCCTAATCCCCCAAATGGAAAAAAGGGAAACTACTTACTGAGCCAAGTACCAAGGGCTGTGTTTCATGTGCTAGCTTACAACGATCTGCAGGGCATCATGACCTACATCCAAAGTTAAAATGGGGTATGGTGGCTCACTAAACTCCAAAAACTTGTCCACCTCCAGAAAGTGGGGAATGTGGGTGTAGCTCAGTGGTAGAGCACTTGCTTAGCATGTGTAAGCCTGGAGTTCAATTCCTAGTTAAAAAAAAAACAACAACAAAAAACCCCCAGTCAACTTGGATGTGGTGTACCTGGGTTCTTGAATCTAACAGCTTGTTTTTTTCCACTTTTTATTGTGTTGAAGTTGTCCCACATTTCCTAAATCTCAGATAAGACTGCTCTACCTGATCAGTTTCTGCCTGTATGGAACTCTGTTAGGGTCATTATGGCAGGTGATCCAACATGGCTTTGGGTCTCAAAATAACATGTCACTCCTAGACCAACTTCTGTGTTCTTCTAGCCTCCAAACAGACTCTTGGTCTTCTTTTTGTGCCCATGCCAGTGACCCTCTAATCCTCTCCCGACATGATGCTTCACCTGCCCATGTAAATTCCACCTCTAGTCCAACCCCATTAAAACCCCCACTTCCAGCTCTCTCCTCTGAAGGTTCCTTTTCTTTAGGCAGCCATCCATGCTGAGCAATAAAGGCCTCTTTTCTCTCCTGTTTTCATTTGTACCAAAGAAAAAACCTTACACCATCTAATTCCTGATTCCTACTGGAACCAGCCACCCCCTTGGATTTCCAGATTGGGTAGTTTGTACCACCTTTACTCTCCATGAGAAATTCTCATAAACCACAGCATTTCCAGCTTCACTGAGCAGCCAGAGTTCATGGTCAACCTATCTACCAAATAAAGTGCTTCCCAGGATATAAGTACTAGTCTTGTTTCTTCCATTAAACTTTGGGCAGGGCCCTCGTCTTTTTTCCCTTGGTATTTCTGTCTGTGACAGCACCTGTAACAAGCATTTAAATCATCTTCTAAAATGTTTTTCCTTCATTAAACAAATTTTTTGAGAGGGAAGGCTTTTTTTTTTTTCAGGGTCTCACTACATCTTCCAAGCTGCCCTGAAATCTCTGATGTTGGCTGGTCTTGAACTCACGATCCACCTGCCTCAACCTACCAAGTGCTAGGATTATAGGCATGGGCCATCACATCTAGCTCCCCTAACAATTTTATGGGCACATTACCCTGGCCTTTCTGATTTTATATATTCAATTTAAATCAAACAATTACATGAAAATAGCCTTTAAAAAAATCAAGACTATAATGCTTATAAAATGAACAGTTGTTTCTTGGCTTTCCTCCGTTAGCACTTTTTGTCTGTTTCCTTTGTTACTTATTTTCATAATTCTAAATAATATGCTTACAGGGGCTGGGGAGATAGCTCAGTAGAATAAGTGCTTGCCTGGCAAGCGCAGGGTCCTGAGTTCAATCCCCAATACCACACACACACACGCACACAGCTTATACTGCTATTTCCTGGTCATCAATTGTAAACATTATCCATCATAGCAGAGAGGGACATCAGCACACCTATAATCTGTTCCCTTCCTCATTCTCCACCTTTCCAATATGATAGATAATACCTAAACTCCAACCAATACACAGGTGATGTTTTCATTGACTGCTGTTCACTACATTTCCTCCATGAAAAGGTTATAAAAAGAGGAATCTTTTTAGACAAGTCCTTGCTATGTAGTTGAGGCGGGCCTCAGGCTCATTATGTAGCCTAGCTGGTCCTGGAATTCACAGAGGTCCTCTTGCTTCCGCTTCTCCAGTGGTGCACTTGCAGACATGTGCTACCATGCCCAGCTGAGGGAGGAACTGTAAGTTGAAACTATAAGCACACAAAAGTCATTGATGTCTTGCAGTGATAGGGAATGACAACATGCCTTCTAAGAAACTTTGAGAATCTGTGAGCCTAAAATAGCAATAGTCTTACCTCTAATTGGGCTAGTTTTTCCTGAATTTTACAAAACTGGGCATCATCCATCTGAACAGCTTTTCTCATCACTTCTCCCATTTCACAGATTCTGTCAATTTGACTTTCAATTTCCTTTGGGGAAAAAAAAGGGTGAAAAAAATAATCTTAGCTACAGATATGAAATGTGTAATGTGCAGTATAATTCTTCAAAGTGAATTTGTGTGTGTGTGGTACTAGGGAGTGATCCCAGGGCCTTGTGCATGCTAGGCAAGCATTCTACCACTAAATTACATTTCTAGCCCACAAAGTTAATTTAGTTAAGTTTTTGTTGTTGTTGTTGTTGTTGTTTTGTAAGATAGTGTTTTGTGATGCAGTTCAGGCGGGGCTAGAACTCATTATGTAGTCCAGGCTGTCCTTCAACTTGTGGCATCCTCCTGCCTCAGCCCCCGAGTGCTATTATAGGTGTGTACCACCATGCCTGGCTCTTCTCAAAGTTAATTTTAAAAACCTATTACCTTAAAAACAGAAAATTGTTAGTAGGGAAAAAAGCTCACTTAATCTCAACTATATTGCTACCTTATCAAACACTTACCATCTTGAGCCATAATAAGTGAGCTTGTGATAGTCATACATAATGTTCATTTTTGGAACATCACCTGTGGCTGGGTATAATGGTATGTCTCTAACCTCTGGCTTCTGGGAGGCTAAGGCACAAATCAAACTCAGCCTGGGTAACTGAGCAATTTACAGACACTGGGATTAGAGGTGTGCAGCACTGCACCTGGATGGACAATATCTCTAACTATTTTTTAAATTTAATTTTGCATACTTTTATGCAAAGGAAGCTTACCATAGCACAAGAGGCTTTTATCTTTGGATTAATCCCTTAGAAATTACTGTTATCTGACTCAAACTATTGTCTTTAAGTGTTCTCTTCTGTACTACAGAAAATGTTTTTCTTTTTCAGATGAGTCAAATACTTAAATAATCCCTGTTCTTTAAAACTTTTAAGTCAGTAAAATGTGTTTAAAATAACCTGATTATTCCTCACTTCATTTTTTTTTTTTTTTTTTTTTTTGGTGGAACCAGGGATTGAACTCAGGCCCTTTACTGAGCGATCTCCCTGGCCCTTCCTCACTTCATCTCACTGTTGAAAATAATGTCTCTGGGGCTGGTGAGATAGCTCAGCAGTCTGAGTGCTAGCCTGGCAAGTGCAAAGACCTGGGCTAGATCCCTGGTACCTCATGCTGTGCTGCCCCTGCCCTGGGTGCGTCATGCAGTCTCCAAAACCAGGCGTGGTGGCGCACACCTGTAATCCCAGCGCTGGGGAGGCTGAGGCAGGAGGATCACTACAAGTCCAAGCTGAATAGCAAGACCCCATACCAAATAAATAATAAGAAGAAAATGTTCCCACTTTACTCACCCAGAATTAAATAGTATATATAAATGTACAATATAAAGTGCTCAGCAAAAAGAACGACAGTGTGTCTTAAATTAAATAATAAGCAACCAATATACAGAAATTATGGTGGTGTTTTCCTGTTTTTGTTTTTGTTTTTTTCAGATAGGATTTTGCTAAATTCTCCAGATTGGCCTTGAATTTGTGATCCTCCTGCTTCAGCCTTCTAAGAAGCTTATATTACTGATGTGTGCTAGCACTGTCTGGCATAAGCTTTTTCCTCTAAGTAGTTAAAGAGTGCCGAATAGTGCCTTTTTATTCATTTTCTAATTAAAGTTGTTCTGATTGATAAAGTCTCACTATACAGTCCAGGCTGGCCTTGAACTTGGGATGATCCTGAGTGCTGGAATGACAGGCATGTGCCTTCATGTTCTGCTAGTATTTTTACTTTAAAATAGTATAATTAGGGCTGCCAGAAAGCTCAGTGGACTAAAAAGTCTGCTTAGGCAGGTGTAGGGACTGGGGTTTGATCCTTGGTTAGCTGTGCTGGCCCTGCCACCCTGAGGTGAGACAGCGACTGAGAATGGGCATAGTGGCTCATGCCTGTAATCCCAGCGCTTGAGAGGCTGAAAACAGGAGGATCACTACAAGTCCAATCTGAGAGACCCTGTACTAAATATTAAAAAAACAAACAAATAAATAAATAAAATAGTATAATCAGTTTACTGACGACCTTCTCTGTGAAAGGTACTGTTAGGGATAAAATGTCAATTCATGCTCCTTACAATCAACCAATGTAGGGGGCATGGCCCTAGCTCAGGCCTTTAAGTGGCTGCTTCCACAAAGCTCTCAGCCTCAGGTTGCTGGAGTTCGAACCTCACAACTCTCCCGCTGGCCAAAAGTGCCCTGAAGCCATTCGAGGAAAAAAAAAAAAAAAAAATCAACCAATGTACAGTTAAGCAAAATATATAAGAAACAACCAAGTGTGTACTGCACACCTGCAACACTAACTGGCATTATACTGAAACAGTGGAAGAGCTAAAGATTGATCACCCCTTGAAAAGAGATCTTAATGAGGGAGGGAGAAATCACAGGCTGTTTGAAAGGACCTGAGCAGCCCTTCACCTCTTTTTATTTATATATTTACAAAGATACAACAAAATAAACAATGAATGGAAAATAAGCTTGCTTTTCTCCAAAAACAAAAGCAATCTCAAAATTTCAACTCAGTTCATTTAGAATTTATTCATCAGAGGTTCTTACTGCACAGTGAGACTGGTGAGCTTCCAGGACTGGTTCGGCATCCACTGCTTTTTTAGCAACCATCAACTGTAACATCTGTTTCCGGTATTTGCTCATGATGAGTTCCAAAGCATCCTGGTGCTCCTCCAAGGAAACCCACAGCTCTAACAAACACATAAAATACTTTGGGAGTGATCTGATAGATCTCAATGCAAAGTCTTTTAAAAGTTAGAATTTTATGATATTCCATGAGATCCTATGAATCTAAAAGTGTTAGATTCATAAGGATTATGAAGTGTTCTAAACCAGCCCTGGTCTGGTGGGACATGCCTGTAAACCCAGCACCCAGGAGACTGAGGGAGGATCACCATAAGTCTAAGCCTAGCCTACGTAGTAAGATCCTATCTAACACCAAACCAAACCAAATGGTTAAGGTCTACACGAAAAACAACTTTCTGGACTGAAGCAGCATAGTCTAGTAGAAGTGACATAAGCTATATATAATCAGGCAGGCACTGTGCTGCTGAGCTATGTACCTGGTAGGAGGCATAATCAAAAGATATGAACTTGAGTTCATTTCTATGACTAATAAGTAAATCATTAAACCTCTCTGAGACTATTTCTTTTTGTTTCTTAAATGAATTTTCATTATAAAATGTGTGTTGATCACTTGTCACCTCAGTTCCTTCCATAAAACCTGGGGTTTGCTTGCAGCCATCGCCTCCACCCGGGTGCTTCCTGCAGCTGGCATGGCCCCTGACTCCTGCTCTCTGGCTGCCCGCTCGCTCACCTGGGCTTTGAAGACAACTCTGAGCCCACTGCAGCTCCTGGCCCCCCTAGTTACGGCCTGAGGAGTGGACTGACTGCGGGCTGAGGAAGTGAGGAGAGCTAATTTGCATGCTGCAGCAACAAAAGGCAGCACCAAGGCCTGTGGGCATACACAGCTTCCACCCCCCGAGATTATTTCTTAGCTACCTCAAAATGAAGATATGAAAATATAATGGAAGAGGGACCTGGGAGATGGCTCAGTGGAATAAGCGCTTCCCTGGCAAGTGCAAGGGTCTGAGTTCAATCCCCAATTCCGCAAAACAAAAAAAAAAGAAAATATAATGGAAGAATACATGTGAAACTCCAGTGGAAACTGATTTAATAATATGCTCATCAAACCTTGATGAGCCAATGTGCTCCTTAAGAATACATACTGTACCTCAAGGATAAAAGTTTGCAAGTCTGCTCTTCCACCCTGCACAGACATATCCAACTTTGAATCTTCAGTTTTTATTCTAATTAATATTTAAATATTAAACTTTAAGCCTTTGAGACTATGAATTTTTTTTTTCTTTGAGGCAGGGTTTCACTAGGTCGCCCACAGTGGCCTTGACCTTGTAGCGATCCTCCTGCCTCAGCCTTCTAAGTGCTAGGATTACAGGTGTGAGCTACCATGCCTGGCCTGAATTCTTTTTAGTACAAGCCTGCATCTGGTACGCCTAAAAAAGTCACTTAATAATTCAACTGTACTATGCACCTACTTGATAAGCTGCATATATAACACAAAATCAGATGGCTGTAAAAAGGCTAACTGGATAAACTGCTATGCAATAACCCCTCTATCAAAGCACTGGCCTGGAAATAGGTATAGATGGTACTTATGTGAAGTGTTGCGGCTGTTTTGTAAGAACCTTCAAGCTATTACTGGAGATGATAAAAATCATAAATACACAAAAGCTCCGACTAACCTCTGTTTTCCTGTTGCAAGTCTCTAATTTGTGTGTTCTCTTGGGACAGCAGGATGTGAGGTTTATATTTGGCCATCTCCTTCAAGTCGGATGCATCTTCTTGATGCTGGACAAACAGGACAGACTAAGCACATTGCAACAGAACAGCGAGGAATGCAACTGAAGAGGCAGGAGGCAGAACTCCGGGATAGGATTCTCAGCCCGATCCTGCAATAAGTTCTCATCATCGACCCCGCCCCCATGCAGGGAATAAACTCCAGGCTTAGATCCTACTTGACCTCGTTCTCCTCCCTTCAAATACTTACAACCCCTACCCTCCGCCTGACCTGGTCCGGAAGCGCTGTCCCCGCCTCCCGCATGGCTGCCACCCGTCGGTGCAGAGCCGCAGACTGATCCACCAGCGACTCGGCGGCCGCATCGTGTTCCCGCAGCCTCTCTAGCAGTGTCTTGGCGTCTGTCAGGATCTTCTCGATCGTACAGCTCATAGCACTTAAAGGATCACAGCCTCTGCTCTGGTCACCTACACGATTACCTCAGACTTTCCCACAGCTCGGCTCAGCTATATATGCGTCACTTCCGGTGCGTTTAAGTGGCACCTTGGCGCGTTGGTGTGCGCATGCGCACTGGCAGCGTAGCGCGGGCGGGGGGTGGTTTCTCTGTTTCAACCTTTTCTCTTCCTAAGGTGTAGCCTGAGACTTGCTCTGGCCGTGCCCACGGTTCCCTTTTTCTTTTTTTTTTTTTTAATTTTAATGCTTTATTTATGTGTGTGTGGCCAGCTCAACCCACCAGGGGGCGGGGCAGGCTGGCATGTGGTGCTGGGGGATTGAACAGGAGTCCCTGTGCTTTGTTTAGCTTAGCTTGTTCTAAGTAGGTGCTTTAGACCACTGAGCCATCTCATCAGCCCCGGTTCCCTTTTTCTTTTGGTTAAGCTGTTCTGTCTGGTCAGCCTGAAGTTCTTTTTTTTTGCAGTTTTGGTTGGTGTGGCTTTTTTTTTTTTTTTTGTGGTGCTGGGCGTTGAAAAATTCAGGGTCTCGCGTGCCAGTAGAGCTCTCTAATCAAGCTATGGCCTCAGTCCAATGCCTTTTGTTTTCATAGTTTTTGCCCTTTTTTTGTTTTGTTTTTGTTTTTGTTTTTCAGAACGAAGCGTTTATTCCACTGAGCCATCTTCCTAGCCCATGGTCTTTTCATCTTTCCTCTGTACCATGATCTCCACAAAGCTATTGTTTTTTCTTATGAGTCTCAGTATCTTGTGACAGTGTTTATCTTTTGGGGACTGGCTTATATTACTTACAAAGTCATTCTATTTCATCCACCTGGTAATATCAGAATTTCCAGTTTACACCCATGTTCATTGCAGCATTATCACAGCTAAGATATGGAAGTACCGGTCAGTGGCTGAGTGTGTGGAGGAATTGTGGAACATAATTGTGGATGGAATTTAACTTGGCCCTAAGAGAAGAAAGTCTTATATTTGTGATGTGGAAGAACTAGGAGGACAGTATATTAAGTTAAATAAGGCAGATAGAGAAAGACAAATACTATATGATTTCACTTTATGTGAGACCTAAAAAAAAAGTCAAAATCAGAGGATAAAATGATGGTTACCAGGCTCTATGAAGTAGGGAATATGAGGACATATTGGTCAAAGAGTACACACTCAACTTATAAGATGGGCAAGGTTTAAGCCAGGCATGGTGGAGCAGGCCTGTAATCCAAACACTTGGAGACTGAAGCAGCAGGATTGCAGCGAGCTCCAGGCTAGCCTGGACTACACAGTGAGCTCCTGTCTCCAAAGATCGCCCTGCCTGATAAAATTAGGTGAACAGGTTTAACGAATCTAACGTACAGTATGGGTGGTGATGTGTTAACCTGATTGTATAATTATATATATTCATAATGTTTTAAAATATTTAATTTTTATTATTACATGCTTGCTGTACATAAATATTACTATCACCATGGGGAGTTGGTACATGTACATAACACCTCTTAATTCTTTTTTACTTCTCCTGTCCCTTCAAAAGTCAACATACTAGGGAGATGGCCCAGTGGAATAAGTGCTTCCCCGGCAAGTGCAAGGGCTTGAGTTCAATCCCCGGTTCTGAAAAAAAAAAAAAAAAGAAGGATGCCACAAAAGTCAATATACTTTGATTATTATTGATGAATGGAATATTTTATTTGTTTGTGGTGTTGGGAATCAAACCTAGCCAAGTATTCTACCACTGAACTGTAGCCTCAGCCCCAATTAAATATTTAACAATTTAAAGAATTAAAAAACACACTTCTTTTCATGAGTTAATAAAACAACAACAAAAACTCAGGTTAGATTAGACCAAGGAAGTGGGAGTCTGATTCCTGGACAGAGTAGGAGAATGGGTAAGTGTAGCCTACAAATTGTGTTAGCAATGGCGGAGTCACTATAAGATCAGGATGGATAGGTATCCCTTTACCTTAATGGAAATATATCTATATCTATATCTATCTATCTATCTATCTATCTATCTATCTATCTATCTATCTATAATTTGTATTGGGAATTGATGTAGGACCTTGCACTTGCCAGGCAGGTGCTTATTCTACTGAGCTATTTTCCTAGCTTTATTTATTTATTTTACGAGACAGGATCTTTCTATGCAGTTCAGGCTGGCCTGGAACTCATCATTGTAGTGATATGAACCAGAAGCTTACTGTTTGGAGGGAGCAAGGATAAAGAACAGAGCCTAAGGAAACTGGCCTCTGGTAATTTCAGCAAACTGGAGATAAGGTAACAGATTCCTGGAGGCTGCACCCTTTCTGCTCTTTGTTCCTTCACCTGGGAAGTTACATAACTAGGGATATGTAAGACTTAGAGTTTGGTGAATGCTGGAAGGCAATGTAAATAACAGCTTGTTGACACCAAATTAGTTATGCACATTCCTTAGCCTGTCTGTAGTCCTGAATAAATGTGAGAAGTTTTGGTGTCCCCAGGCTCACTTAGAGTGAGACTTAGCTCAGTGAGACTTCTGAGCCTATATTAATCCTGTCTTCCTGTCTTTCTTTTGGCTCTAATGGATAATACACAACACACAGTGTAGCCTATGCTTAAACTCATAGCAATCTTCCTGCCTCAGCCTCCTGAATACCTGGATTACAGCTGTACATCACCATACCTGGCGATGGTTTAAAACATTTTTACATTCACTACAGGGGTTCTCATCTATTGTGCTCCAAATCTGCTGTCAGATTTTGACCACTATATAAAAATATGTGCAGCAATTACAAATTTACTTTTCCCAGCTGTGCAAACAATCACTAGCTGAGTTTTTTTTTTTTTAATACCTAATCTACATCCTTTTGAGACCCAAACTTGCTCATTTAGGTGATTGGTGGAAAAGGTTTGTTTTGTTTTGTTTACTGAGTTTTGTAACTTAGGCTGGTTAAGTAATGAAACATTATTATCAGGTGTATCAGATTCTTGTGTATGCTTCAGTCTTTCAGGTTTCCTCTTCTCTTTCACTGAATCCATAGTGGAGTACAGGTGTTTAGATTTGATCAGTCCTTCTTGTGGGGGCTGCTCTCTGTGTTGTTGGCTGTTCAGCGTCATCCCTGGTCCACCCACTAGGTGCTGATGCTACTTCTCCTAACTATGACATTGAAAATGTCTCCTGTAACTACCAAATATTTCCTGGTGGGCTGTTTGAGAATCTCTGGGCTGAAGATTTATATATGAATGTAGTGATTCTCCTGTCTCAGCCTCCCTAGTGCTGGGGTTACAGGTGTGCACCTAGTTCCAGGCCTGGCATGGCATGTGACATGTGGCACCAGGGATAGAACTTGGGACCTTGTACTTGCCAGGCAGGTACTTATGCCACCAAGCTATTTCCCTGTGTGTTCTTTGTTCTTTTACCTGGGAAGTTATGAAACAATATTTTCAAGTATATCAGATTCATGTGTATGTTTCTCTCACTGAATCTATAGTGGAGTACAGCCCTGGGCTGAAGTTTTCTTTCATGGGATGTAGCAAAATGCTCAGAAGTCTTAAAACTTTTATACTGAGCTGGGGAGATAGCTCAGTGATCTAAGTGCCTGACTGGCAAGCACAAGGACCAAGTTCAATCTCTGGTACTGCATGCCATGCCAGCCCTGCTGGGAAGGCTAGCACATGAGACCCTCCACCAAATAAATAAATTAACAAAAGTTTTTTAAAAACTTTTATACAGTCATGTTGTTGTATGTAGTGAATTCTCACGACATGAGGGAACGATGGACCAAAAGAGGTTAGGAGAGCTTTATTGGCAATCAGAAGAACAGTTCCTGCAGGTGTCCAAGTGAGCGGCACCAATGCTCTTTATCAGGGGTATTTTATACAGCAAGATCACAATGTGGATACAATAAACATTATCATGTTTACAAGTATAGTTGCTTATTTAATACCGATGCAATCAGGAAGCAAGGCAGGTGGCAAGGATGTACGATGAGCATCATTCATCACCATCAGGTTTACCTTACCTGGAACTTCTAATTGTGGAGAGAACAAAGGTGTTCTTGGAAAGGGATGGGAGTGTGGGTGCAGGTATTCTGGTCGCCCACCGATGTCAAGACCAGGTAGTGCTAGTGCTAGTTACTGTAATCTCTCTCTCTCTCTCTCTCTCTCTCTCTCTCTCTCTCTCTCCTCTTGTATTTTTAGGGAAGGGTCTACAGGGTGTTCAGGGTCTCACTACTAGATCGGACTCGTAGTGATCTGCCTGTTTACAGCCTCCCAAGAGCTGGGATTACAGGTGCATGCCACCAGGGGCGGGCCGGCACTGCAGGCCCAAGGATGGAACCCCCAACCCCTGTTTGCAGGTGCTTTAATCCGCTGAGCTATTTCACCGGCCCGTATAACCTCAAACTGCTGTGCACCTCTAGGAAGGCGTGTAGGCCTGGCTGTTGTGTCTCTATATACTGAGGCCAGGCACTCCCCACATTCGCCTCCAGCCACAACCTTGACACAGCTCCTCTCCTACACTGACCAGCTCAAGGGCTCCCTCAAGTGTTTGATGTGCAATAATTTCCATCTGACCTAGTTCAGAAGAGCAGCCCTTCTGAGAACAGTTGTTGTTGTTTTGAGAGCAGGTCTCACTATATAGTCCAGGCTGGCCTTAAATTCATGGTGATCCTCCTGTCTGAGTCTCTCCATTGCTGGGATTACAGGTATACACCACCATGCCTGGACCAAGGACTGTTTTGTTTTAAAATATTAGCGAGAACAAAACAACTTTGTAACAGTAGTCATACAAGACAAAACATGTCCAATTTTTCAGATTTATTTTAGATTGGCCCTATAGGTACTGTGCCATTGAGCTACATCCCTAGGCCCTTTTATTTTTCACCTTGAGACAGGCCTTACTAAGTTGTCCAGGCTTTGTCTCAAGCTTGTGAACTTCCTGCCTCAGCCTCCTGAGTATCTAGGGTTACATGCCTGCACCACCATACCTAGCTCTGATATTCTGACCTATCTTTTCATTTTGACAACTTACCATCAGGTTCTTTCACCCATTTTAATGATGTACAATTTTATCACTCGCCCTTTAGCTGCAGGAGCTATTTTCATA